TTTCCCTAATAACTAATCATGTTGATATTTTTGTGTGCTTATTTGCCACCCCTATATTTTTTTAATGACTGTTCTAATCTTTGGCCTGTTTTTCATAGATTGTTATCTTGTTGCGTGGAAGAGTTCTTTGTGTATTATAGGTGCTAGTCCTTTGCCCTATACTTATTTTGGAAGTATAGTCTCCCATTTTGTGGCTTATCTTTTCATTCACTTAGGAGTATCTTTGGAAGAGCAAAAGTAAGTCTAATTTATTGATTTTTTTTTCTTTATAGTTTGTGCTTTTCTGTCCTTTTGCCAAAGCAAAGATCAGTAAGCTTTTCTTCTGTGTTTTCTGCTAGAAATTTTTAATTTTGGCTCTTAAATATCCAGTTAAGGTCAGTGATTCATTTTTGCTTAATTTTGTATATCGTATGAGCCAAGGGTCAGGGGTTTTGTTTTGTTTTGCTTATGGCTATTTAGTAGTTTTAACACCATTTGTTGAAAAAGTTATGCTTTCTCTACTGAATTGCCATAGTATTTTTGTTGGTCATCAACTGGCTATATAAATGTGGATCTATTTTTGGACTTTTTGTTCTCTTTCATTGATTAATTTGTCATGTTTTTATGCTAGTGTCACACTGTTTTGATTACCATAGCTTTACAATAAGTTTTGAAATCAGTTCTTTTTCAACATTGTCTTGGTACTTTTAGGTTCTTTGCATTTCTATATAAAATTTAGAGTGACCTTGTCAGTTTCTACAAAAATCCCACTGAGATTTTGATTGAGATTGTGTTGAATTTATAGATCAATTTGGGAAGAAATGACATCTTAACAATGTGGAGTCTTTTAATTATAGAACACAGTATAGCTCTTGACATACTTAAATATCTTTAATTTTTCTCTGCAGTGTTTTGTAGTTTTAGTGTTTAAATTTTGTACACCTTTTATTGAACTTAACCCTAAGTATGTTCTGTTTTTCATGCTATTTGTAAGTGGTATATTTTAAAATTTCAAATTTGGATGGTTTGTTGAGAGTATATTATAAAACAGTTAATTGATTTTTGTATATTGGCTTTGCATCCTGCAACTTTATTCTATTTTCTTTTTTTTTTTTTTTTGTACAGTCTTACAGGGTTTTTTTTACATAGATTATCATGTTATGTATGAGTAAAGACACTTGCATTTCTACCTTTCTAATCTGTATACCTTTTATTTTTTTATTTTTTCTTGCCACATTGCACTGGCTAGAACCTCCAGTGCAGTTTTGAACAGAAGCAGTGGGAGCAGACTTTCTTGCCTTGTTCCCCTTCTTAGAGGAAAATAATCCAGTCGTGTGCCATCAAGTAAAGTGTTACCTGCATTTTTTTTGTAGATGCCCTCCATCAAGTTGGTGAAGCCCTTCTGCTCCTAGTTTGCTGACAGTTTTTTGTTCTGTTTTTTGAATGGACATTGGATTTTGCAGTGGCCTTTTCTGTCTCTCTTGAGATATTCCATGATTTTCATCTTTTAGTCTGGTCAATTGTATTGATTGATTTTTGAATCTTAAACCAATTTTTCATTTCTTTGATAAATCTCAATTTGTTATGATGTATTTATTTTATATGTCTGGATTCCATTTGCTAAGATTTGTTAGCTTTTGCGTCTGTATTATGAAAGATACTGGTCTGTAATTTTATTTTTTTCTGGTTTTGATATCAAGATGATGCTAGATTCATCAGATATGTTTTTAACTTCACATTCAGTGTTTCTGTTGGGGTAATGAAGTCCAAAAAGCAGAATGGGAAGTTACTTATTAGCATATTGAGAATAATCTCATAAAATAGATAGATATCCTATAGGCATTTGTTTGAGTTGGCAATGCCCTGATTACTAGGTCCTATTGTCAAAATGCTTAAACTGAAGCTCAATAATTTTTATGTAGACCTAAAGGCATAAAATGTATGAGGTAGAAAAGGAGTGATAAAAATGGTCTAGTCTGAGCAGGTGTTGAAGAAATGCATAAACATAATGACTTGATAAGACAGTATATTTCCTGAGAATCACCTTACCTAAAAGCGATTACTGTCTGTCACCATAAGTAAAATTTATATTCCTTAGCATTTCAAAAGAGCCCGTCTTGGGATGCACTTTCCCTTTCTATTCCATTCACATCATGGATTTCATAGAAGACCAGTCTGGAAGCAGAGCTAGAATAAGTATTTGCCAAGTTCTTGGTTTGTGACTGAGACTGAGAAGAGTTTAGCATTTGGTATTTTGGGGTATTAAGTGCTGAGAGGCAGTCCTTGTTTCTGACTTGCTTTTATTGTAGATAGAGGAGGCCTCAACCCGGAGTAAGTCTGTCCTCCCCCCTACTGCCCCTGTTTGCTGTTAGTCTGTGAACAGTGTCTCAGAGGCTGGGGAGGGCCCTATATTGGTTTGAGTTCCAGAGTTTTCACAGTGTAATAGACTTAGGTGGTGGTGGTTGTTGTTGTTTTGAACTCTCAGTGGCTAGATTTCTTTCTTTCTTTCTTTCTTTCTTTCTTTCTTTCTTTCTTTCTTTCTTTCTTTCTTTCTTTTTCTTTCTTTTCTTTCTTTTCTTTCTTTCTTATTTCATTTTAAAATGAACTTGTGGAAGTCCAATGTGGAAAATGGATAGAAGCATGAATCTTTTAGTATAAATAAATTTTGCAAATTCAGTAATTTAACATTCTCAATTTAATGTGAAGCAATGTAGTTGTGATGAATACAGATCTAATATACAGGGGTATGAATAAGAGCTCAGTCATATCTTCTTCAGTAACCAATTTATTTGGTCAAATATCGGTATTGAGAAAAATCCCAACATCACGGATGATTTTTAGTTCATGTGACTTGTTTTTTAACAGCTTGCCTTAAAATCTCAGAGTAATTCTTCAAGTAAACTCATCCAGAACTTGAACATAAAGGTATAGAAAATTGGTTTCACAGTTCAGTCACTAACAGTTTCTAACAAACTGCTCACATTCTTTATCATGTATAAAAAAAACAGACAGGAAAAGGGGAAAAATTAGACAAGTACCGAACAGTTGATAATGTCTTGATGAGACTGTTATACTTTTCTTTATCAATTATTGTTAGCCTTTGAATGAGCACACCAGCAATATATGCCTTCATATCACTTCCCTGTCACACACATGTGCTAGAGTGCATTTGCTTGTACAACTTTTGGTGAACAAATGTGTGCAGGCTGAATTGGATTGGTGGGAGAGGAGAGAGAACAAAAGACAACGGGTAGCATTACAGACCTTCCTAATCAATGATACATTTATGAGGAGTCCAAATAGATACACAGAGTTAACAGGAGAAACTCTTCTCAGATCTGTATGAAAATGAGTTAACCTCGTTATGGTAGCTTCAGTGTATTATTATTCAATACAGAACTCCTTTGAATCTATATTTTTTTAAATCACACTTCAAAATATTTTTTAAAAACACTTTTCCAAAGGATATTAAAATTAAATGCTTGTGGAATTCCGGAAGCATTTCAGCAGGACCTGAGGCTTCTGGAAGCTTTTCAGCAGGACCTTTTGGAAACCACTCTCCCGTACCATGTCATTCTTCATAGGAATTTTCTTTTCAGCTTCTCTTCATTTCTTATTTGAAATTAAAGTTCTGGTAAATTAAGAGGGAAATACATAGGCCTTATTACAATGTGTTAACATTTATGGGTCTTGTATACTTAATGAAAGCACATCTCAGTAATTAAGAAAGCAGTCAACAGCAAAAATCAAGACAGAATTCATCCCCTGGTTGTGTATGAGACAATGTATAATTTGCAATATTTTCTGTTGATTAATATATCTTAACAGCTTATTTTTCATATTTCACTTATTTTATGGCATAAATACTTAGTAGGTCTAAACTGAGATACCAATAATTTGAGTTCCTAAGCCTGATCTTTAAAATGGAATTCCAGGACTCTCTTAACTCTCATATATTTATACAAGTTTTATCTAAAAGAATGATGATACCCTCTGGCTTATTTAAAACACACACAAAAGGATATAATGAAGATGTGACTTCCACTAATGTTGCTTCAAAGTAGATTCTCTTCATGTAATAACTGTGGATTTTCTACTCCACAACTCTTCATTTCTCTCAGTTTCTTCACAATTTTCTTTCAACTTTGTCTCACTTTTGCTTTTTATTAGAGCCCTAAAATGTAGAACTGAAAGTGATCATAGGAGCAATTCAGTCTGCCCATTTTATAGGAGTTGAAAGTGAAGTGGTCTTAACCAGACGCCAGTTGGAAAAGAGCTTGTGTATCCTTGAGTACCCAGATTTATATGAAGACAAAAATCACAGAAATAATTATTTTCCTAACTGACTGCTTTGGTTCTAGACTGTATATGGTCTTCCCTGTAATGTTAGACTTTGAACTGATGATGGGCAGAAAAATACTCCTACCATTTTAGTATGGCCCATCTCTGAATAAATAGATATGCCTGTGATGTTAAGATACTAAGGCAGTGTGGAATAGAAACTAGCACAGTCCCTGAGATGGGAGAGGTCAGAACTGAGGTTTTTCATCTAGCCACTTCTTAGCTGTTGTGGGCATGAGAGGTTACTTTGCCTCTCCAAGTCTCATTTTCTTCCTCTATAAAATAGGGAAATAACATGCAAAGCTCCCTAAACTCAATAAAATGCAGCCAAGTAAGTAAGTTGTTTATAATGAGAAAAGATAAAGGATATGTTAGAAGCATGACAACTAAAAAGTGACATGAGGAGAGAAAATAGGACCACAGCAGAGAGCGTATAGGAGAACAGAGAATGGGAGCAACGGCAGTGGGTGGGGAGCAGTTCTATTTGTATTTAGTTCAATTCCAATATTTTAAGGCACATTGTTTACTTCTTTTCATTAGTGTATATCTTACACAATTTTAACCTGTATTGAACTTAAACATTTTATTTTGTGATCAAATTGTGTTTAAATTTCAAGTGTCCTCTTTATTTTTATTAATGTTATTCTGAGTAATCACAAACATCTTAATTTAATTTACAGGTGGCCGTTTGTTGCATCTGTTTTTTTGTTATTCTTCCTCTAAATCTTGTTGGTACAATACTTGGCCGAAATCTGTCAGGTCAGCCCAACTTTCCGTGTCGTGTCAATGCTGTGCCTCGTCCCATACCGGAGAAAAAATGGTAAAGAGAATGCTAAATTTTATGTCATTGTTCCTCACAATAGAAAAACTCTTAATGCTGATATATATATATATATATATATATATATATATATATATATATATATATCTTTCTTTCTTTTAGAATTGGCCTGTATTTATTAGAATGTCTTAAATTTGAACTTAAGAATTTATCTTTTTACTTTTTCCTTCAACCTATATTGTTAGTAGTAGTAATCAATTATATCCTTATTTCACTTTCTGAATATTGGTGCCATTTACAGATAAATTAAACACTTTGATAAGTACATTAGTGCATAGAGGTGAGTACGAACTAAAGCTGCAACAGTTGTATTTTATTACAGGACAAAATTGACCTGCTGCCTGTTTTTGAAGAAGTTCTCTTGGAACATATCTATGCCTTTTCATTCACATATTATCTGTGACTACTTTTACACTGTGGCATCAGAGACAGAGACCATATTGCCTTCAAAACCTAAAATATTTACTATATTTACTATCTAAACCTTACAGAAAAAGTTTGCCAACCCTTAGCTTATTAATTCCTTTCCAGATATTTTATTATTCTAATAATATTGACACATTTATAACCACATATGTTGTGCTGGTTGAGAGATGAATTAGGACTAAGATCATTTCCAATTTCCTGACCTAATGTCCTGTGTCTTTTGGGATAATCTAGAATCTCCCAAATACATTCTGTCACATTTTATCCAAATATGTGTTCTTGAGAACCTCCCGGAATTCAAGATGAATCCTGACAAAGGATGATGAGTATTTCTGTTAAATAGCTGAAGAGAGAGTCTTTAGTGGCACAAGTATACATATAGTTTACAGGATTTTTTTTAATCAATCCACTTTGAAAGTATTCTTGGTAGATTTTTAACTGGACAATTTATATTTTTTAAAATTCAGACATAAAATGGGACGTCATTAATATGTTATATTTCTAATCTTTGTAATTCAAATTCGAACAAACTAAACTCATAAATATATTGCCCTTTAAAATTAGTAAATTAAATATTTTGGTGCTGATTTATGCTATTCTGCATTCTTCATTTTCCTGATTCTTACTAGTGGACAAAAATAGAACAATCTACAATATATACATTTATTATATTCTCTATCCATAAGAATAACTGCACATTAGACTCTACATATTCATAATAAGGGATACACACACAAACACACACACAAACACACATAAAAGCCTCTGTTCCTAGATATTTTACCTTCTTTTTTAATTTTTTTTTTATTTATTCATGATAGAGAGAGAGAGGGAGGGAGGGAGGGAGGGAGGGAGGGAGGGAGGCAGGCAGAGACACAGGCAGAGGGAGAAGCAGGTTCCATACAGGGAGCCTGATGTGGGACTCTATCCGGGGTCTCCAGGATCACTCCCTGGGCTGAAGGCGGCGCTAAACTGCTGAGCCACCCGGGCTTCCCTATAATTTATATTTAGGCACTTACATATATAGTCTTTTGTAGACTCGGAGGTCAGTTATAGAAATGGAGGCTGAATAAAAACAGCACTTCTAGTTTAAAGGAAGGTGATCTGTTCTAGTTTTAGAATTGTCCATGTTCCTTTTAAAAGTACATTTTCTCTTTGAAATCAAGATTAGATTCTAGGTTACTAGGACTGGTAAAGGAGAAGAAGGAACAACATATGACCTTGCAAACCATGGGTCACAGTTAGTTGGAGGAAGGCTTATGTGTATATTTTCCATAATCATATAATTACATGGGATCTAAAATCTGAATACTAGATCTGGCTCTCATGGATTATGTTATCTTGGGAAGATCATTTTTAACCTCTGTGGGTCTTAGATTCCTATAAAAGAAGGAGATAAGACTACATTAAATGGCCTTTAAGGTTTTGTTTTGTTTTGTTTTGTTTTCCCAGCTTCCAAACTCTTTCATTTCTTCTCTCTCTCTCTCTTTATTTTTTTTTTGGAGAGTGTATGTATGCATGTCCACGTGTGGTGGGGGGATGGGCAGAAGGAGAGGGAGATAGAGAATCTTAAGTAGGCTCTCTGCCCAGTGTGGGGCCTGACTTGGGACTCAATCTCCCGACCCTGAATCATGATCTGAACTGAAACCAAGAGTCATGTCAGATGCTTAACTGGCTGAGCCACCCAAGTGTGCCCCTCCTCTTGGTTTTTTAATTTGTTTATCCCAGAGATAGTATGTTAGTATCTTTTATGTGCCATGGGGCACTGGGAATAACTGGGTGAGGAGCTTCAGCCTGCCAGAGTTTATAGTCTAGTGAGGTATGATATGTATGTAATTAGACAGCTCAGGATAGTGTAGTAAGTGCTGCCACAGAGTTATGTTCAAGAGGCAGTGCTAGCCTGGGGGAAGGGCCCACCTTTTTCTGGGAAACTTGGGAAGGACTTCATGGGGAGAACACTTGAGCCCATGCTTACAGGAGAAAAATGACAAGAAAAGGCATTCCTGGTGGAGAATTACCAATTGCATCAGTATATGTTTGTTGAGTGAGTGAAGTTTGAATTTTATTTTTTATTCACTCTGGTTCCATTGTAAGTCAGAACTCATAATACCTTAATTGTATAATTCATAGGAAAACAAATTTCTAAACCAAGGAAAGCGATGGCAAGGAAAAGATGATGGCAAGGCCACAATTAGGGCTCTCAAGACTTTTTTTTTCCTGTGGCTTTCTATAAATAAATGCCTGTAAAGTTTTTAGAAGTTACTGAGAGATGTAGAACAGAAGCAAATACTTAGATTTTTTCATGAGTTCTGTTGGTGGCAGGAATTTATATTCCCCAAATTCTTATCTCGGCCTTTTATGCCAGAATTTTTACTATAACCTATGGCTAATTTGAGGTCCTACCTCTATATTGTACCTCTTTGAATTTTTGTTTTTCTTTTTACTTGCTTGTTCCTGTGCCTTAGATTATTTTTTAAGTACCCAGCATCTGCTTCCTGTTATCTGGATTTATATATTGTAATGTGAAAATCATACTAGAAGTTTATTGCTGATTTTAATATTTTCCAGGTTCATGGAGCCTGCAGTTATTGTCTGCCTGGGAGGAATTTTACCTTTTGGCTCAATCTTTATTGAAATGTAAGTTGTGGCAATGCATTTATGTTTTGAGGGATGAAATTGTAATGAGAATTTAGGAGTTATGGTTAGGTTTTGAACCATCAGAGGGAAGGCATCTAGCAGAGTTAGTCTGTTATTTCATCACTCCCAGAAAGTGCTCTAACATAATCTACCTAAAAGCAGTTTTCTGCTGTGGTCTCAAATATTCAGGTGAAATTAGATGTTTTGTATTATGTTCTAGACTCTTCTCACCTAACAGGAAATCTTATAAATCAAAGAATGCATGCTAGAGAGTACTAGACCAGTCTTTGATCACATGCATGATAGAAGGAATGACTGGTTTTTATTATATTTTTAAAGTATTAAAAAAAAAATAAAGTTTTTCTGAGGTCCAGGGAACTAGGTAAAAGTATTACCTACCAACCAGTCAGTCTAGATCTTGGCGTCTTCAGATACATATATTTCTAGTCTCCTTCCATTGAGGTCTACAGGAGTGCTAAGAAATGTGTAGGAGTTTGGGGGGTGGAAAGTATGCCACCTTGTGCCCAAGTACTGTGCTTGATACTTGGCATCCTTAGTCACCGCTACAAAATACGTCTTTCTTTCCTCAGCTTGTATCCCAATGTTCCTTGATGGGAATGCTCTGGCATTTTAGGAAAGACATTTTTTTATATAGGACTTTCTCAAGAACAGTCATATACTTCTGGTTCTTGCCCATGAAATGCCAGTCATTGCGACTACTCAGAATTCCCTTACACATTTCCAGATGCCCCACTGCTGATTCTTTCCTACAGTGGACACCTCCTTAACAGACATGATTAGATCTGGTAATTGGTTAATTAAAAGCTGGCTCAATTATAAAAAAAGTTCATATATAACATTGTATTTTAACTTAAAACAACTAAAAGCATATCTTTCGCTTTTTTTAATTTTTTTTAATTTTTATTTATTTATGATAGTCAAACAGAGAGAGAGAGAGAGAGGCAGAGACATAGGCAGAGGGAGAAGCAGGCTCCATGCACTGGGAGCCCGACGTGGGATTCGATCCCGGGTCTCCAGGATCGCGCCCTGGGCCAAAGGCAGGCGCCAAACCGATGCGCCACCCAGGGATCCCCCCCCCCCTTTTTTTTTTTAAATACAGAGCCAGAGTCTTTGATTTATATCTTGTCAATGTTTCTGTCATTTTCCCTTTGGCATTCACAGTGTATCCTCTGTGTTTCCAGCATTTTTAAGGTGGAACAAGAACATCAAGACCTGTCTCAAGTATTCTAAGTGCAGAATCCTTCTAGATTTATACATCTCACCCCAAGACTTTCATAGTTCTCTCACCCACACCTAATTTTATGTTGTTTTTTAAGTGACTCACCTTATTTCATTTCTCCAAAACACTCAGTATAATGTTCATAGATATCAGGCATCCTTTTGTTATCATGTTTATTGGTGTGTGTAATAGTCAATTAAATTATGTAATTACACCACCAAGCACAATTGACGTAGATTTGGGTCACCTACCAGCTGTGAGTGTGCCATGGATACTAGTCAGTACCATAGAGGGACTGGAGTGTATGTCACACTAGCTTGTGGCTTAATAAAGTCAATTCAGGAACCTCTTTGGTACTTCTAGGCTCATATACTGCTTTGTATCATCACCCTGACTTAACCTCTATTTTTCTGTCCTACCCCTCTTCCCAGTACCTTCTGGATCACATCTCTTCCTGCTTTCTCAGGTACTCTGTTCCATTGAATAGTGTCTCTGCTATATCCTTAAATTCTCTTCTGTTTTGACCACCCTTGAGTCTGTTCTCCTCTTGGTAGCCACAGTGATCTTTTTAAGGTATTAATCTGATCATGTCACTTCTTTGCTAAAGATTTTTCTTCATTTTCATTGAGGTAAGGTCCCAACCCTATAACATAGTTAGTAAGGACTTTCATACTATAGGATCTGGCCTCATTTGCTTCTCCAGCCACATCTCTTAGCTCTCACTCCTTCATTTGAAGTTGTAGCCATTCTCAGTTACTTTGACTTTTTCCACATATTTGTAAGTTTTGCCTTTGCTGTTCGTGGACCATTCTTCTGGCTCCCCTTATCCCCACATGCCTTATTTGATTCTTCTCACTACCCCTTCTCCCCTAACCAAACTGGTAAGTTGCCCCTCTTAGGTGCATTGGTAAAGCACATGTTACAGAGCATCATGTCCTTGAGAGTGGAGTAGAGACTTTGTCATCTTCACAGTTCTGTTCTCACTGCTTCTCTGTCATGTGGCAGGGCCTCTAAATATCTGTTGAAAGAATCAGTGACAAGTAAGTGAGCTAAACAGAACAAGAAAAAAAAAAGACAAAAAGATCCTTTTCTGATGATGATTTGGGGAATGGAATTACCTTGAGGGTCTTGTTCTTTGTGTAAAATGTTACTGTTATCTCTTACTGTCTTCCAAAAACAGCAGGAAGCTTCTTTAGGCTTTTTTTTTCTAATTATTTTTATTTTCCTAGTTTTATACATTATTACTCTATCAAACATACTTTTTAAAATTTGCTAAGGTGTTTTATAAAATATAAAATACATTGCTGAATAGTGTTGTATCTAGAAAAAAATGCAAGAATGAGGGAATTGCTTTTATTTTACAGATAAGAATTTTTAGCTATTTTCATTTTTCTTTGCCACATTTTACTCCTTTAAGCTTCTAATTTATTCAGTTTTCTTAGAGATGAATGCCCTACTAAAGAATCTGTTCTTGAAAGATTATCCAAGAAAATATTTTTGAGAGATTTTTGGAGGACTTAATAGATAAAAAAGGGTAAAAGAAACTGTTGGAAGTTACTTGAAAGAAAATAATTGAGATTTAAGTATGATGAAAGTGAGAACGAAGATATGAGATTTAGCAAAAGGGTGAGCTTCAAGAATAAAGATTAGAAACTGTCTTTATTGCATTTTATTAAGGTATTTCATCTTCACATCTTTCTGGGCATATAAGATCTACTATGTCTATGGCTTCATGATGCTGGTGCTGGTCATCCTGTGCATTGTGACCGTCTGTGTGACCATTGTGTGCACATACTTTCTACTAAATGCAGAGGATTATAGGTGGTAAGTACTTATATCAGGGAGGAACCTTGGAACTCTGTTTTCAAGTAAGATGCCATTTGAAGTGTATCAAGTAGAGTAAAAGATCTGTTTAGAAATTTTGCTCCTTAAGATAGTATAGGAACTTTTTTTTAAGTTATAAGAATGATGAAGATTTTAGAGGAAAAGTAATATCAGCCACAAAAAAAGTTTTTGTTTTTGTTTTTACAAAAAAGTTTTTGTACTTACAATGGTCACTGTGTTATATATTTTTACAAAGTGCTTGATGTGATAAGAACTTTATGAGGAAGCATTGCTCCATTTTGAACAAAAGGAGATGGTTCTGATGAAGTGGTTTACTTAAGGTTACTTATAATAGGGCATCTGACAAAATTCAGAGTCTTTCCTTCCAATTCTTAGGATTTCTCCTTGTTGATATATTTAAATGCCATCTATGTGGATTTTTTAAAAAGATTTATTTTACAAAGCGAGAAAGAGCGAGAGAGAGAGCATGGTGGAGGATGGGGAGGTGGGACAAAGGAAGAGGGAGAGAGAGAATCTTAAGCACGCTCCACACCCACCATGGAGCCTGATGACCCTGAGATCATGACCTGAGGCAAAATCAAGAGTTGGATGCTTAACCATCTGAGCTACCTAGGTGCCCCTACATCCATTTTCAAGAATGTTTTTATAATGTTCTTTGGTTTAAAATATGTTTCAGTGCCAGTCACTCAAAAGAGTCACTTTTTTTTTTTTCAGGCAATGGACAAGTTTTCTCTCTGCTGCATCAACTGCGATCTATGTTTACATGTATTCCTTTTACTACTATTTTTTCAAAACAAAGTAAGTGGAGATATTTTCTCATTTTGTATTTAGGAAACAAAAGTCATTTAAATAACAGAATTTAAGAATAAAAGGTAGAGTATAGGGAATATAGTCGGTGGTATGGTCATAGCACTGTATGGTGATGGATGGTAGCTACACTTGTGGTGAGCACAGCATAATGTATGAATTTGTCTGGTCAGATTTGTCCAGTTGCTTTGTGTACACCTGTGACTAACGTAACGTGTCAACTGACTATACTTCCATTAAAAAAATAAATAAATAGTAGAATTTAAGGCCCTATGTTGAAAGTAAAAATAGATATACTATATATATTTTTTGTCTTATTTCAGGATGTATGGCTTATTTCAGACATCATTTTACTTTGGTTATATGGCGGTATTTAGCACAGCCTTGGGGATAATGTGTGGTAAGTTCTGAAATTTTTGGAATATCATGAGTTCATCTTTGAGATTTGTAGAATCCGAAAAATGTAGTAATTGGAAATTACATTCTGTGGCTTGATCAGGAACAACAAAATAAACTCGAGTCTGATTATAGTTCTTTAGACTATTCCTCAAAAATTCATCATGTTCTTTTTTTTAACATTCCTAATAATTTTGTATTGCCCTGTTTTCTGTACCACAATTAGTTTCTTTTTCATGTTGAAATTTGGCTTTTTTCTTGTTCTTTTTCTTTTTTAAAATATTTATTTATTCATAAGAGAGACAGAGAGGCAGAGGGAGAAGCAGGCTCCATGCAGGGAGCCCAACACGGAACTCGATCCCGGGACTCCAGGATCATGCCCTGGGCTGAAGGTGGCACTAAACCGCTGAGCCACCCAGGCTGCCCTTCTTTTCTTTCCTTTTTTTTTTTAAGCTTAGTTTCTTTGGGAAAGATAATGATGTAAACAGGTTATGATACTGGCTGAGTGATTCCTTTTTGGAGATTTCTAAGGCTATTCATAGAGATAGCCATGTCCAAGAGGCAATGTCCAGGTTATAAGTACACACTTGGATGTCTGCAGACTGGGTTTAAGTTCTGTCCATGCCACATGTATGTTCTGTACCTTGATCCAGTTTTCCAAGCTCTCCAAACTGCGTAAAATGAGGAAAAGTACAAAAAAAAAAATGAGGATAATACTACCACTGTGTTTTGGGTCTATCACAATCTTCCATTAAATAGAAGAAGTAGGGGATCCCTGGGTGGCGCAGCGGTTTGGCGCCTGCCTTTGGCCCAGGGCGCGATCCTGGAGACCCGGGATCGAATCCCACGTCGGGCTCCCGGTGTATGGAGCCTGCTTCTCCCTCTGCCTGTGTCTCTGCCTCTCTCTCTCTCTCTCTCTCTCTCTCACTGCATGCCTATCATAAATAAAATAATAAATAAAAATAAATAAAAATAAATAAATAAATAAATAGAAGAAGTAATAGTTACCATACGATAGAGTCTCTGGCATGTGTAAAATACCTAGAAAATAAAGAACTTTTGGAAATAAGCCTGATAAAGGGAAAGGGCACGGACTTGAGAGCCTGAGAGACCCAGGTTAAATCTCTTTGCTGCTTTTTTGTGGCTCTGGGAAGTCATATTGAAGTCTCTAAATCTCGTTTTTCTCATCTGTAAAACGAGCATATCTTTCAGAGTAGTTATTTGTCATAGTATTGTATGTATAGCACAAGTATAATGCAGCTGTGTTATCAAGTGTTAAGAGAGACCCAGTTTTGTGGGAGACATGGTGGGGAATGGGAAGAGCTGAGGCTTTTGGGGTCAGTCAGTCCTATGTGCAAATTCTGGTGCCTCTACTTAATAGCCATGTTACTTTGGCCAAATTATTTAACCTTTCTTCCTCAACATTCACATTTGCCAAACAGAAGTAACACCCACCTCACAGGGTTGTGTTGTGGATTCAGTGATTGGATGTGGGTAAACAGGTAGATGTGGATGCTCAATGAGATGGCTGTTACTCTTTCTGTACTGGTGAGGGCTAACAGTCCTGGTGCTTCCTTCTGTTCTGGGATTGTGTGTCTGTGTCTGTAATTTGTTTAGGTTTCTTTACCTGTGTTTTCACTTCAGAAGAACCTCATGACACTGAGTTTAATCAGAGGTACCTTAAAGGAAATGCATACCAGTAACTAACTTTTCTTTGGGTTCAGAATGGTTTTCACTTGATAAATGAGGCTAATTTTAGTTACCCTATAAGAATGATGCAAGGCTTAAGGACTAATACTATGGAAACATTTCCAGATACTTTATAATTCAGCCCCTTTTCCTGTTATCTGCCATTGACTTTTTGTTTTTTTGGTAATTCTATCTTTAGCTATAGGGTAGGTTCTATCTTTAGCTATAGGGTAGGCAATAGAATAAGGAAGATATGATAATCTTGTTAAAATTTAGCTAGGTTCTGGTATGGCACTTGTGGACCTCTGAGGTACCACAATTGCTTTTTCCCTCCATCAGAAGAGCATATCCATTCCATAGATTAATGGTTACCAGAGGAGGGGAGATTAGGAGTGTGGACAAAATGAGTGAAGGTGGTCAAAAGTTACAAACTTCCAATTATCAGATGATTTAAGTTCTAGGCATGCTTGGTAATTATAGTTAACAATATTGTATATTTGAAAATTGCTAAGAGATTAGATCTGAAAAGTTCTCATCACAAGAAAGAAAACCATAACTGTATGAAAGTGATGGATGTTAATTAAATTTATTATGGTGGTCATTTCACAATATGTACCCATATCAAATCATTATGTTGTACACCTTAAACTAAAGTAAGTGCTTTATGTCAGTTCAAATCTGTTCCATTTATATATTACCATGTACATGATCATGTGTGCACATACACACACAGATGACATTGACTGTAAAGTAATAAAACTAATTCCACAAGCTATAAGGGACAGTTCTCTGTATTATGACTGCATATTTTATTTATAGCTACTGTGATAGCCTTTCCCTGCAATACTTAATTTGTTAATGAACTTTGAGGAAAAGAGGACTAGGATCTGCAGGTTAAAACTAGATTTGTATTACACAGGAACATCCTTGTGTATCTCTAGGCAATCAGAAGTTTCCTTAGTATTATTATTAGCCTGCCTTCCTTCAGAAGGTTGCTCCTTGAACTCCTCTTTATTTAATCTGAGGTCTTTCTTGATTATCACCAGCATTCAGCGAGGTATAGAATCATGGGATTATGCAGAGGGTTAAATTTTTTTTTCTTGACTCAATATGTGATCTTAGGAAGACCTAGAGACATAATATCTTGACATTTACAAAGAAAATGGAATGAATTTAGCTAGTTTTTTTAGTGCTTTTCCTGTTGAAATTTCATCTTGCTGCCTGAAAATCTTGGCACATCTACAGTTCCCTGCTGTTGTGGCAGTGTCCCAGCATTTATTCTTTAATGGGTGTATGTGCCTTTGGAGCTAATCTATTTTGGCGGGGCTGAGGGAGAGGAAACAGTTCAGATGAACTGATTAAAATGTCATCATAATACAAAAATTGTACATGCTAATCAGGTTATATTGCTAAAATGCTTTTTTAAAGTCCACAATTGAAAGAAAAAAATTATTGTTTTTTTAATGTAGGAAAAAGAAGTGTGTTAAGGTGGAAATAATTAGATTGTTATAGCTTTCACATTCTGATCATAGCATTTTAGTAGTAAGGAAGCTAAGTTTGAAAGTGTATCTGTATTATTCTCAAGACATTTACATTTCTAGAGAGCATATTTAGTATATTCCTTCTTATAAAATCATATTTTTATATGCTTATTCTTGAGATACTCATAAGATTAGGAAAAAAGATTCTCTAGGTCAACACTGTTTTGCTTTTAAGCATGTCTCTGCTCAGAGGGGAACAACGGTTTATAAGTCTAGAATATTAGATATTAGATTTGGTTATTAGACTGGTGTGATATTAGGCCAGTTAAATTTTTGATTCTAGTTAAAATTTCATAGATTTTTTTTTATGTTTTAAGAATTCAGGTTTATATTTACAAATTGAGTGTTTTTTTTTCCTTTGTAAGGACTTCTTTTATAACTATTTCAGAATGAATTATCACTATTTCCAAGTATACTTGTAATATAATACCTCATATTATAATAAATATCTATTAATTGGAAAAATAATTGGAAATAGGTTTGCTTTGTTGCTTGGTGGGTTTTAAGAATACTTTCAGTATTTATGGGAAATTTTCAAATATATATGAAAAGAATTATTTTTGTGTGTGTGTATGTATAATGAAAAATATGTGTGTATATTGAGTCTCTGAGTCAAAAATTATCAACTCTTGGCCAATCTTGTCTTACTCATAATGCCACCTTATCCCCCTTTTTATTCTGATCTGAATCTCGGACTTCATGTCATTTTTAACTGTAAATATTTTAGTACATATATATGTGTGTGTACATATAATAACTATAAGTATGTACTTAGTTATATAATATGTAGTTTTATAATATTATATAGTTTTAGTATATACACATATATAATTCCTTCATATGCTCAAATATTTTGTTAGTATTCACATTTATCCCACCCATCTCCATGCCTTTTTTTAAATACAGTTTGTTTGCATCAGGATCTAGCTAAGGTCCATGCATTGCTTGGTTAAAATGTTTGTTTTAAGTAGGCTCCATACCCACTGTGGAGTCCATCATGGGGCTTGAACTCAGAATCCTGAGATCAAGACCTGAGTTGAGATTAAGAGCCGGATGCTTAACCCACTGAGCCACCCAGCCCTCTGGTTAAAATGTTTCTTAGGGTTTTTTTAATCTACTGGTGTTCTCTCTTTTCCCTTGCAATGTATTTAAGAAACTTGAGTTTTTGTTTAATTTCTATAGAGTTCTCCACGCTCTGAATTTTGCTGAGGTATCATTTAGTGTTTCTCCATGTATTTCTCCCCGTTGTTCCTGTAAAGGGGTAGTTGGAGCTTATAGGCCTGATCATATTCAGGAATACTTGTTCAACAGTACTTAAATAAGGGTTTGTAAACTTATCGGGAGGCACTGGTTCTAACTGTGAAGTTAGCAGCCATTGATAATTACTGCCTAGGTCATATAACACATTGTTAGTTATTCTAATTTTGTTGTTCCTTTTATATTTATTAGCTGGGGCTCTTCTATAAGAAGGAAATTCTTTTCATCATCTATGTAGTTACCTTGAGGTACAGTTTATATATAGGAAACGCAAAATAGACTTCTTTCTTTCCATATAGTCACCAGTGGGTGAACAGAAGTTAGTTCAAAGGTGACTAATTAGGGGTCTGTGTGTATGTATGTGTTTGTGTGTGTATCATTATTAACTTAAGGAAGGCTTGGATGGTAAATTTCTAATTGCAGTGGAGAATCTTCTCTCTGATTTGATTGACTAGCTGTCTTGTTCTGAGGATACCTAAGTATAATTTGCAGTAAAGAGCTATCCCATTCATTCATTCAATAAATATTTATTGAGTACCTTATCATGTGCCATGTACTCTTTTAAGGTATAGGAGGTAGATAACTAACAAAACAGACAAATCCTTTGCTTTCTGGTGTTTTGAGCCTCATTTGAAGCTAATATTAAAAAACATTTCACTACTTAACCTGTCTCTCTCATCTACTTCTTCAAATATATCTTTCTTTTTGCCAGCCACAGAGCTTCTATAATTTAAAGATAAAAACTCCATCAGAAAATACCTCTTTAGAGCTTCAAATGCTATTGGGCCATGGTTCTCAGTTTTTTTCTGAGAGAATCCCATCACTTCTTACTTCCATTAGGTATCAGATGATTTGGGGAACATGTTAAAATGGTTTAAATGACCTAGAAAAATTTATATTTAAGTTTTAAAAAGACATGTTTTTTTCATTTAGCACATTTTTGTCATTATCAAATTATTCTTGCTTTGTAAGTGATGTATTTTAATTCATATAGTTATTAATTATACATGTAATAACTGATATTTAATTCTAAAAATATCACATCTGTGATATAATAATCATATTATTATGATAATAGGTGATTTGCATAACAAATGATACGGTTCTAATAAGTTCAGAGCAAATACTAACAAAAAAGATGTTATCTTGAAAAAAAGAATAGCTTTCCAGAGCAGAGAGCATTTAGTGTTTGTAAATGGGATACTACCCTGTATGTATTTGTTTCACAACATCTTATTTTATCTTTGCAGGAGCAATTGGTTACATGGGAACAAGTGCCTTTGTCCGAAAAATCTATACTAATGTGAAAATTGACTAGAGACCCAAGAAAACCTGGAACTTCGGATCAGTTTCTCTTTCATAGGGGTGGAACTTGCACAGCAAAGAAAAAAAAAGCGCAAGAAGAGATTTGGGCTTTCACACGGGTACTCTGTGGGTCTCTCTTTCCTGGATGGCTTAAAGTAACATCTATTTCCACTGATCCTAGGTTCTTACTGACTGCTTTCTCCAACTGTTCACAGCAAATGCTTGGATTTTATGCAGTAGGCATTACTACAGTACATGGCTAATCTTCCCCAAAACTAGCTTATTAAAGATGAAATAGACCAGCTCTCTTCAGTGAAGAGGACAAATAGTTTATTTAAAGCATTTGTTCCAATAAAATAAATAGAGGGAAACTTGGATGCTAAAATTACATGAATAGAATCTTCCTGGCACTTAGTGTTTCTACGTTATTGAAAAATGATGTTCCAGAAAGATTACTCTTTTCTCTTATTTTTACTGCCATCGTCAGCCTATTATGGGACACTTTTATATATTGAATCTGGGTTCTTTTTGACTTTTTCCTCCCCCCAATCGAACTGCATCTTTTTTTTTTTTTTGAAGAGAGAATTAAAAAATATTAAATCCTGCATGTAATATATCTGCTATCATCTTAGTTGGACCAGCTTCCCATTTATTTATCTTAAAACTATTCAGTTCTATCTTAATTCCATCCAAAGAAGATACAGTCTGAAGATAGAGGTGTACTCTCTACAATGCAATTTACTGTACAGTTAGAAAGCAAAGTGTTAAATGGAGAAGATATTTGTTTTTATTAAACATTTTGAGATTTAGATAAACTACATTTTAACTGAATGTCTAAAGTGATTATCTTTTTCCTTCCCCCAAGTTAGTCTTACATCTTTTTTGGGTTTGAATGAAGGTTTTACATAAGAAATTATTAAAAACAAGGGGGGGTGGGTAATAAATGTATATAACATTAAATAATGTAACGTAGGTGTAGATTCTCAAATGCATTTGGATGTACAGATTGACTACGGAGGACTTTTTTCTGATGATGATTGGTGTAGAAATGTGTGAATTTGGGTGGCTTTTTACATCTTGCCTACCACTGCATGAAACATTGGGATTTCTTCAAAATGTGTGTGTCATACTTCCTTTGGGAGGGGGGATTGTTTTCTTCTGTTTAATTTCTGAGGCTCCTACAGGAGCTAAATTTGTAATTTAGAAACATTTAATTTTGTTAATCCTGTCTGGGGCACTTAAGTAACATCTAAAGCATTACTGCTTTAGAATGTTAAAATAAACTTTCCTGACCAAATTGTTTTGTGAAAATAGATGTGTTTGCAATTTGAAGATAATCTTTTCAAAAGGCAATTATTACTGAATGCAGTTTTTAAAATATACTGTAAACTATGCTTTTCTAATACAGGAGACCCACACTTTAAAATCCCCAAACTTCCTTACATCTAGATTATCCAGTATAGTCACAAAGTAAATGGTAAGCCCTTCGAATTAGATTGTGGCACAAAATCTCTTCAGTTTGGTGTACCATGTAAAGGGGGGATGGGGTAAAAGCGGCTATCTTATTTACTAATGGATGAGCAAATAAAGGTTACAGTTTTCTAAGAGAAGTGATTTAATTTTGAATACATCTTTCTGGAACTATCCATAATGTGAAGTTTTCCTAGAACCATTGAGTTTCTAGTTTAATAGTTTGCTATGCAAATGACCACCTAAAACAATACTGTATGTTGGTATTTTTAGAAAGACTCAAAACCGCTGTATTTAAACTTCAATGTGAAACTCATGCCATTTATAGTTCATAACATGTTTTCATTACAAAATGTTTCTATAAATTGACTCTGCATCCTATAATGTGATATGTAAGGACTATAAAGAGTGAAAAGTTTGGTTTCTTACCACTTAAATATGGCTGACATAAACAAACAGGAGTTTGATCAGAAGCTGTAGTAAATCCTTTCTCAAGCCAAAATGTTATATTAAATGCAGTCTACTGGCTCTTCCATTTTCTTTTCTCACCTGGCTTTAAGATCTTACAAGAAAGGAAACTGAATGCCAATAGTTAATGGTTTATGTAATATAACTCTTTAACCACATGTAAAGTACTTACAACACCATATCGTCTATCTGATGGAGTATAAATTGGACAGCAAGCTTTTATCTTAGTAAAATGACATCTATTTCTCATGAATCTTGCAGGTAAGATGTAGGGTTTTAAAAAATGACTGCTTTAGCTACTTTCAGGTCAACCAGTTCTTTTTACTAAATAGATTTCAAGTCCTTGGGAATCTTCAGGTAAAAAAAAAAAAGCGTTCTAATTTCCAGATATATTAAGTATCATTAAAATGAATATAAATTGCCTTGAAAGTCCTTTGGAAAATACGTATTGGTTTTTACCTTTATGTAGGTGCTGGCTATGTCTGTGTCTTTGAAGAAGATGTAATCCATAAACAGTTTAGCTCCCTAGCTCTGGGTTATAGAGTAATAAAATAAAATATGACTTAAGTTAACCAAAGGGTGAGGTTCTTCCACTCCATTAATGCTGTTTATCTGTCTTTTCATATGTTAACATTATTTGCTCAACTTATCAACTGATGCTTTGAACACTATCTAAAACTAAAGATAAACTTTCTCCTTGCATCTGTAAGCATGCTTCTCCTGCAATTTATCTATACTACTAATTGACATAATTATTCATGTGTCCTAGTACAAGGGTAGGATAAAGTGGAAATGGAACGGCTGGAAGTATGGTAAAGCATTCTTTGGTATATCATGTTGGGCTCCTGATTTGTGCTGAGTTTGACCACAAATCCTCTTAGACTTCATTGTACTGTGGTGATATCTGAACCTGGTGAATGATATGATTGGGTGTTTTCCATTGACAGTGGACGGATCTCTTTATAAAGGTGGTTGCTACAAATTCCAGTTCTTCCAAAATCCACTTATTTAGGGTTTATCCACAGATTGTATTCCGTTTGTTAAAGCTTCTGTTTCCGAAATGTTTACAGACCACCTTATGCCCTACGTCTTGCAAATAATCTTCTTTTAAGATTTCCTTGAATTTTTACAACTGTAAAAAAGAAAATAAATGTATTAATGTAATTTGTTCAGGAAAAGCTACATACTGAAGGGCTTCTGTATATAAATTCTGAGAAAGAAAAGCCTATTTGTAACCTATACACTGCAGTTCCATCTGGGTTTTAAGTTTAGATTTCAGTGTGTCTTAGGGCTTCAGTCTATTGATTTACTGGAACATGTAATAGGAGCAGTGACGTATGAAAATGCAAGTATTCATTAATGTTTTATACCTTCATAAAAATTCCATGGTTATGAAGCTATATTTTAGCAATCAAGATGTTAAAGAGATCAGAGCAGTGAAAATTTATAAAGATTGTTTGAAGTGTGTACAGAAAGAGACTAGATTTAGAGGTAGGGTAGACCAAAAAGTGAACATAAAACTGCAGAAATCTTATAAGACTTAAATTCAGTATGAGGAATAACTATTTCTCTCTTATGAGCCTTTTCTGAAAGCCATCTGAGTTGACATTCTTATTGGAGCTGTAGGTGGAATCGTGCAGAGAAAAAAGCAAAAATTAAGTTATTTTGCTGTATCAGGAAATGGAAACAAACTGGTGTGAAAGCTGCTCACATGTGAGTATTAGTGAACTAGGTGTGCAGATGATTGATGGACAAGGGAGAACTTTGTGTGTTTACCCCAGTTCCTCACTTTAGGTCATTTGAACATTAGAAATGTTACAAGTAAGATCTGAAGGCAAGGAACAAATAACATGGAATTGTGTTTGGAAGGACAAGAGAGTATACACGGAAAAGCAGTCCCAGTCAGGCTTTTCATCAGTGTCAAATTTGAACCTTAAGTCCCCACAGAGCCCGGGCAGTCGGTATCAGTTGGAAGAAAACAGTTACTGCTTGATAATTACTTCCATTTTGTACACACCTTTGGTTTGTGTAGGTCATGTTCCAACTGGCTTTTTAGTAATAGATATCCAGTGTATACTGTATCAAATACATTTGAGGTTCTAATCTAGTCTGTTAATCTAACCGAAATTGGATTTTTAAAATAATAAAAAGTTAAATGTACTTTCCTTGGATGCTTTATTTCTTTCCTTTTTGAAACAAGTGAACCAGGCATAAGGGATAACCCATTATTATTGGTATGCATATGAAGAGATTACCAAGAGCCTTCCACAGTAAAACAGGAATCAGCAAACTTGCTGTAAAGGGTAGATAGGAAATATTTGAGGCTTTGAGAGCCAGATACAATTACTCTTCCGCTGTAGCACAACAGCCATAGTAGATAGTACATAAACCAGTGAGGATGGCTACTTTCCAATATGACAACAAAAACAGCCAATGGGCTACAGTTTGCTGACCCCTGAAATGAAGGCTTTAAAATCTAAGATTTTACTTTTTCCCCCCTATTTCTTATTTTGGAAAAAAAAATATATATATATATATACAGATACACACACAGAGAGAAAGGTGCAAGAATGGTATAATAAGGTTTGTCTTTACAAAATTATTTTTCTCTCTTATTATTCTTTTGACTTCTATGCTCAAACCCCACTACCTCCCATGCCTGTCATTCTGATTGACAATACGTTGTCTAGTCAAAGCAGTATTATATAAGCAGTATTCACAACCATTCTGTGAAGCTGATAACGTAGATCAGTAGGTATTAGAGAAAAGAACTACAGCAGCCAAAGAGTACTATGTTAGGCCAGAAGTATTGAGTAGATTTAGAGTCCTCTTGATCATTGTCACTGTAAAATGGGGATATCACCTCTCCAGCCTGGGGAGCAGATAATACAGGTAAAGATCACATTGAAAATGAGTGTTCTATATCAATGAAAGGGTTATTTTTATTGTACATCAAAATCAGTAGTTAATTGCTTCAGGTCTAATGGTACTTCTGTTTTTCATTTCCAGTTTTAACTAGTTATTTAAATCCTTGTCGACCTTTTTTTAGTTTTCTTCCCCTGATTTTATTAGCTGCCTCCATACCTATACTTGACAATTCCTGTTGGCCAAGTAGTTTTAAGTTAGTAGAAATTTGGATTACTTTTGATCTCTAATGAACACTTTTTGTGTGGTTGGAAAAAACTCTTATACAGCCAGTTTCTGGATTTCAAAATGAGAACTATTTTATTAAACTGTTCATCTACAGTTTAACATTAGTAAAAGGGGGAATGTGCCCCCAGTGGGACATGTGGAGTCGTTGGTAATATACTCTACAAATAAATTATTTTCAAAGCTTTGCATGTTTAAATAAAACATGCAAAAAACTTTGATAAAAGTTTCAAATTTACAAAGTGGAAGGAGATGGTTGTAGGGAGAAGTTGATGGAAGTTATTTTAACTAGCCAATGTCATGGTTATTCTTAGTGGCTCAGTCTAAGCCGCTAAGATTATGGGACTTAATCTTGAAGGTCTTTAACGGGAAGGGAGGGTCTAGAATGAAATATGGAAGGTGGTTCCAAGTTGGAGTTGATTATAGACCACTAGGGTAGGACAGACATATATATATAGGTAAGTGTCCAAAGTGTGGTAAGCTATTCTAATAGGTGTTGGCATGAGGATGCAGGCTGTGTGGTTATCAAGTTGTCCCCAGCAGACACCCGCAGGTTTGAAGCAGCAAGGCTCTATTAGGGCAATTGCAAGTCTTTAATGCAACAAGAGTAGAGCACAGACAGGTGGAAGGAGCTGGGGCTGGAAGTATGAAAGGTGGATGGTAAGGTCCGGTGTGTCTGAGGAGCTTGGATAAAGGTTTTGGAGAAGACGAGCTACAAGGAGTTTTAAATAGCTGCTAAAAATTGTAATTTAAATTATTTTTAACAACTTCCAAAGAACTCAAAGTGCCTTCTCAGTGGTCAATATTGTAAACAAAGGAATGAACTAGCAGAAGAGAGTTCCTGCTCTATTCCAGAGGTTCTTCTCCCTACCTCAGAGGAGAGGGTGATGATGTGTAGTGCCCTGGAATGGTAGAATGAGAAAGTGCCATGTGTGGAGTAGTTGAGAAAACTAGGGGTAGTAGAGGGGTTCGAAAGCTGCTGCAAGAGAACCGGGCTGCTCTGGGTATATGGAAAGTGATGGAATGAGTTAGGTGGACGATAGATATCTGACTAAACAGGGGGCAAAGGTTGTATCCACTTGCAGATTTTCCGCAGGACCATGAGCTATGGGGGAGGAAACCTACAAAAATTAGGAATAATTACGAATGCAATGGAACTAAGCTGAGCAGCTTGCAAGCATAAAGACTGATTCTAAATCTACCTCTAGTTTTCCCATGGGACTTAAATTTAAAATACATGTATTTTAAAAATTATGTAAACGCAGAATAGAGTTTAATATATAAAAGTGTGAAATCAGGAACTATGGAACTATAGAACTGATAAAAGTGATGGGACGCATGGGTGGCTCAGTGGTTGAGCATCTGCCTTCAGCTCAGGATGTGATCCTGGGATCAAGTCCCGTATCGGGCTCCGCCACAGGGAGCCTGCTTCTCTCTGTCTATGCCTCTGCCTCTCTCTGTGCGTCTCTCATGAAAAAAAATCTTTAAAAAAACTGATAAAAATGATTAACCATCCCTTTTCAGTTCCTATCTAACCTCTCAATACTGTGATCCAAATGTTTTGTTGGTATTTGTTGGAAGATAGCCCAGGTAGCATCAAAACAATACTTCTGACATAAAACTGTGCAGCTTGCTCACTCAGGAGCACCACTGTCTTCAAAATACTTGGATAAAGAGTGTTGGTGAGAAGACCTGGCAGCTACTCACCAGGTGGGGATTAGAGGCAATAAAAGCTCACAACCTCAAGGCTTGTATAAGAAGTCTCCTGTAATAATTGTCCTACTTTCCAGAGGAATTCCCTGTAATGAGGAAGCCAGTTGGCTGTTTGCCTAGTGCCATCTGGAGACCTGGAAGTGTCACAGAAGTTTGTTAGGCTTTTTAGATGTTAACTTTGTGGACTTGTCTACTGACAGGTGGTGACCTTCACTGAATTGAATGCAGGGAACTCTGGCGTTGGGTTTGACTCCTTCCAGCATTCAGGCAGAAATGGCGTTCAACCCCTTCCCACACCTCATGCCTGTTTAACGGCCACTTGGCCTCTTCCCTGCCATTTGGTGGTATCTATCCCGCCCAAATTTCTTCCTCTCACGAGTTCCAAATCAGATCTTCTTTTCCAAACTGTCTTCATTCTGTATGTGCCCATTTGATGATGAAACAGGGTCAACCTGGATTTCTTAAGATAAAGACAAAATACCCAATAGTCACCTTCAGTGGTTAAGTTGTAAGTCTTTACTGGTTTGAAGGACTTGTTACCTAGTTAATAGGTAAGACAGATTATCATAATAAGATGGGCTATCCTAATGCAAGAAATTTGACTCCTGCATATAAAGCCCAGCTCTGGGCTCTCTGTCAGCTATTTTGTCATTAGTGGCTATGAAATCATGTGGAAACCCAAAAGGAAGTTTAGTTCATTTTTTGCTTGCAGTTTAAACGAAAAAGAGATTCTACCGGCTGTGATGCTGAAAAATCTCTACACATTGGTATGGTTCACTTCTTGATTAGGGCAATTTTGCTTGCATAAAAAGGTCTTTGAAATGCCTCATGGTAATAGTACTTTTTATGTCTCTAAGTCAAGTGGCTCAGTTCTGACAATTCTTACGTTTAAGGTACAACGTGGGAGTGGGTTTCAAATATCTCTTGATTATTCTAAGTTATTTGGGCATATGTTTTTAATTGGCAAAAAAATAACCAGGCTTCAGAAATTGGTCATTTTTATTCCATGAAGCTAATGGTAAGTGGCTTGTTTAATAAAAACATGCCTGTAGTTTAACACAAATAGCACGTACAGCTGTTCATTTGTCAATCTTTTTTGCCGGTACGAAGCATCTTAAACAGTTTTGCTAAAGGGTAGGGTCACCGAGAGGGGAAATCTGTCATTTTAAATAATTCTTCCCCTAAGGCACCCATATCAGCAGCCACTACGTTTGGTGAGGTGGGCGCTGCAGCCAGCGTCCTTCATGGCTGGACGAGGGATGTTGAGAAAGCCGGGAGAATCGTCACCTTCGGTTTTTACGAGTTGAAAGCTACCAGCGAGATGAACTTCATTCCTACAGAGAAAGGACTGTCCGAAAGCAGAGCCAGTGGATGACGACGCCGACCGCTCACAGGGGCTCCTGGCCCTGAGCCCGCAGCCGCCACGTGTGCGCCCGGGAGTTGCAAAGTGACTTTACATGCGAGTGACACTGGGCGGGAAGTCCAGCCTTGATCTTCAGGAGCCGCGCTCTCGGGGGCCGGTGGGGGCCCGGTGGGGGGCCCGGTGGGGGCCCGGTGGGCCCCGGGTCCTTGCCTACAGCATCTTCACCTCGCTCCGCTTCCTCCGAAGTCGCGGAGGTGCCGGGAAGAGGAGGGGCCTCGCCTCGGGCGCCCGAGTGATTGGCTGCCCCGGGCCCCTGGCGAGGCCTGTGTGGTCCAGCCCGGGCGGAGGGGCGGGGCGGCCACTGCTCCCACCACCGCCACCACCGCCACAGTCGCAGCCGCCGCCGCAGCCTCGGCCGCCGGGCAAGGAGCTCCGAGCGGCGGCTCCCCGGGCGCCCCGACGCGGCCCCGGCCGCCGGCCCTGCTCGCTCCGCGCCCGAGCCATGCCGGGCGGCCGTGTCTGATCGCTGCGCCCGGCCGCCGCCGACCTCCCGGGCGCACGGTCCCTGGCCCGAGCCGGGCTTTCCGCGCACGCGACTCCCGCGGTCTCCGTCGGCGCCTCGCAGCCATGCCCGGGGCAGCTGCTCTCGGGGCCCCGGCGCCTCCGCTGCTGTCTCTGCTGCTGCTGCTGCTGCTGCCGCCGCCGCCGCTGCCCCGCGGCGCGGGGGGGCTCGCGGAGCGCTCGGAGGCCGCCCGGGACCCCTCGGCGCTGGAAGGCGAGGACGGCGCGGAGCCGCAGCTGGAGCGCTACCACGACCCGTGCAAAGCCGGTAGGTGCCGCCGCGGCGGCGGCCGGGGAAGTGCGGCAGAAGTTTGCCTTTGAAATGCAAATGAGTAGTGGGCTAGCCCGCGCGGCCGTCTGCGGGCGGGCCGCCCTCCCCCTCCCCTCCCCTCCCCTCCCCTCCCCTCCCCTCCCCGAGGTTCCCCGGCTCCCCGGGGAGACAATGCCGCTCCGGCTGGGACGTCCCGGGCGCGGGCCTGCGGAGCGCCCCGGGGGGCGGCGTCGGGAGCGCGCCCACTGCCGAGGAGCCCGCGCGCCGCGCCGCCCGACGTCCAGGTGCGGGACTGGGCGCGCCCCTCCCCGGCTCGAGGGAGCCCCGGGCCCGCGTTCCGGGCATTGGCAAGTTGTGCGCAAAGTTTCCCGAGGTCTCGTGCGTGCTCCAGGGAAGAGAAGAGCAAAACCCGAAAAGCTGCACAGCGGGGACAGGGAAAGTGGGAGCCGAGGGAGAACGCGCGTGCCCCGAGGGCCGCAAACTTCCCTGTGGCCCCCTCGGCGCGGCCCGGGCCTGGGGTCGCCGAGATGGAAGCCGGCAGGTGCTGTAATCCCTCAGGAAGCGGCGCCGGGGGGGGGGGGGGCGCGCGGGTCCCTCTGGCGCGCTCCCGGCCCCGGCGCCGCCGCTCGGTTCCCGGAGCCACCAGCGGCTCGTGCGTCCCGAGGGGCGTGGCCTCCAGCCCGAGCGCTCGCGGCGGCAGCGCCCCCGGGCCGGGCGCTCCCGGGAGGCCGGCGGCGGGCCTGAGCCTGGGAGCGGGGAGCGCGGCCCCCCTGCTCTCCCAGACGGCGGTCGGCCGCCCTCACGTGGCCCCACTTCTTCACCCCCGGGAGCCCTCTAGCAGCCTCAATCCCCTCGTCTCTAAATTGGGGACAGTCACTCTAGGAGGTCTCATGGTGCGTGGGGAAATTCTCTGCAAATGGAATAACGAGATGGTCCCGTAACGACCTGTGTTGTTACAGCAGCGGCTGAGGGCTAGGCTGGAGGCCCGACACACCAGAACTGGGCCGAGTCCGCGGAAGACCAGGTCACTAGGAGGCCGGAGGCCCCAGAGGCTGTGAGACCTGAGAATCTTGTGAAGGCTCAAGCTCCAACCAGACTTGAGGGGCCTGCTTTTCCCTTGCGGGAATAGTCCTGCAGAGTACTCACCTATTGCTGTACCTGGTGGGGCTTCTGGGTTAGGAAGGTGGGCAGAAGTGTTGGTTCCTGGGTCATTTGAGAAAACATCAGCAGGTAGCATGTCCCGACTGAGGTATCTCACTTCCTCATGGGACCCAGCTCGTGACCAGGGAGAAGGGCCTCCAGAGCACTGTTGGAATGGTGGCGGCCTTGCCCCGAAAACACAGAAGCTGAGGCTGTGAAAATGGGGGGGGGGGGCGGTAAGGAGGTGAATCAACCATCGCCTGAAACTGTCAGATCCTGGACGCTACTGGATGTGTGTTGGGGCCTCTGGGAGCTAATGTGGGCATCGGGGATCTGGACTCAAGAAGCCATCATCAGCTTGTTCAAGAATGTACTGAGCACCTCTGGTATGCTGGGTGCTGGTGTGCATGCTGGAAATCTGGGTGAAAGAGGCATAAGTCTGTCTGAGAGAGGCCCCCACCTCCCAGTGGCAGCCTTATGGAATAACCCTAAGGCAGGCTTGCCCCTCCTTGGGGCCTCATTTCTCTCCAATAATTTTGTAGAAAATGCTGGATAACCAGGGCCCACGTGTTCTGTGAGTCTGCAGACAGGATGGGATGGGTGGGCAGGGCTGGAGAGTAGAGAATCTCTGGAGATTGGTTTCAGCCCCCTCCGTGCTCCACAGCCATCCTTGGTCTTCCAGTAGCCTTGGCCTCTCCTCAAGCTGTGCTCATTCTAAGAGTGGCCAGAAGAGGGCGATGGCAAGGGAGACCTGGGGAAAAGGTCACATTTCAGGCTGTCCGTGCTTCTGGAAATTCCCTGAATTAGGAAAAGCTTTCTTTCCTAAAAGAAAAAAAAAGCAGTTCACCAGGCACTGAGGTCCCAACGGAAAGATATGCCTCTCAGCTCAGGGGGAACACTGCATTGCTTGGTTCCACATTTAAACCAAATGTTTAGGGGCAGCCTCTCATCCGATCCCAGTTAAGTCCTAACTTCCTGACTCCTCTGCCAAGAAGGAGGGCTTCAGGGCTTTGAATCTAAAATATCCCCCCCCCCCCACCACCACCACCTGTCCCTTCTTGAGTGGGAGCCTCCATTATGCTGCAGACACAGTTTAGAGAGGAGAGTTTGGGATCTGGTCCTGGCCTCTTGGAGCTGTGTTACCTTGGACAAGTCCCCTCCTCTTTGGGCCTCAGTTGCTCATCTCCAGGATGAGGTCATTAGACTTGTTGGGGTTGCAAACTGACAGGCCCAAGGAGCTGGTTCTCTTGGCCCACGTTGGGGGTCTTGCCTTGTGGCCACTTCACACCAGGAGGGCATTTGAATTTGTGCTCCTGGAACCTTTCTACTTTGTGTTCTGTGATTCTGTGACCTGTGCTTCCAACTCGGTCTCTCAGAGGCTGACCAAATTATTAAGTGTTTCTCCATTTACTATTTTACTATTTACCATTTCACCACTCTTACCATTTTTAAAACCATTTTTCACCATTTTACCATTTACGAATTTCACCATTTCCTCTGCATTTACATTCTGTGTGATCTTGGGCAAGACACTTAATTTCTCTGTGCCATAATGTCCTTGTTTATAAATGAGGATGATTCCTAGTAAAGTGCTTTAAACAGTGCCTGGCTATATATTTAGGTTCTTTACAAACAGGTTTTCTAGAAACTTGGTGAAAGGACATCTCCATGTGGACCTTTGAAGCAAGTTTTAAACTATAACATTTAAATTTACTAATAAACAATCTACCTAATGCTGTGAGAAGGGATGCTTTTCAAATCAGATGCTGGGGGACTGGGAGTGAATGTGTGCAGTCCTCCTGGCCTGGGGCTGGTAAGGTACACTGGGCTTTCTGGGCACAGTCTCTGCCTAGCAGTACACAGCCAGCTCTGTTGTTTGGTTTTCATCTGATACTCTAAGTGTGGCCAAGGGTTCAACTGACAGTGAATTATAAGACATCCTCGCAACCACCATGCTTCTGAAAGAAACCTTTGCAAAGCTTCTGAGGGCTTCTCCTGCCATTTGCTCTCACCCACGATTCTTTAGCTGGATTCAGCACCAGAAGGCCTGGGTCCTTATCCCTTTTACTCCCTCTGTGGCCTTGAGCAAGTCACTTCGCCTCTCTATGTCTTAATCTTCTCATCTGCAAAATGGGGATGGGAATAAACTACTTGCCTTGTAGGGTGACCTGCAGCTAGTTATAGCTGGATTCCTCAGACAAGGACTTGTGTGTAGATAGTTCGTTAGGAAGGTGATCCCAATGAAGCGGGAAGAGTAGAACAAGGGAGGAGGAAATCCAATGAAGGAAGTGAACTGAAGTAGGTGCTTTTGTTGATGGAGTCTTACACCCACCAGGACCCCTGCACAGCTTCCAGAAAGTCTTGTAGAATTCCTTGCCCATACAATGAGAGGCTGGAGCGTTTCTCCAAAGGCTGCTATCCTTCATTGTCTGCTCTTCCTTCTTTTGTTTCCAATGTAAAAAACAAACAAACAAACAAACAAAAACCTCACCCAAACTCAGTGTCATAGAACAACAGCCATTTTATTGTTTTGGTGATTCTCCAGATCAGGAATTTAGAAGGGGCACCACAGAGGTGATTTGTCTCTGCTCTGCAATGTCTGACCCTCTGCTGGGAAGATTTACAGGTGGTGGTGATGGGAGATTGGGGCTGGAATCATCTGGAGCCCCATTCACTTACATCTGGTGGTTTGAGGCTGGCTGTTGCCCAGAGCTCAGTTGGACTATTGGCCAGAACACCTACAAGTGGCTCCTCTGTGTGGTCTCTCCACGTGGGCTAGTTGGGCTTCCTCATAGCATGGCTGCTTGATTCTAAGTGCACACGTCCCAAGAGAACCAGATGGAAGCTATATTGCCTTATGTGACCTTGCTTCAGGAGCTGCGTATTCTCATTTCCACCATAGTCACAAGCCTTTGCAGATTGCAGAGGAAGGGATATAGACCCAGCTCTCCATGGGAAGAGTATCAAAGTCATATTGTTAAAAGAGCATGTGGAATAGGGGGTGTTGTCTCAGCCAGTTTGGGAAAATAGGACCTGCCATGCTCCTCCAGGCATTAACTTTCCAGTATATCCAGGCTGCGTCTGTGTGCAGGCACCATGGTCACTACAGATTCAAAAAAAGCTCTTAAGTAGAAATATGGGGAGCTATGCAGTGATACATGGAGTTGCCCAGAGTTAAGCTGAGGATGTGTGACATAGGTCACCAAAATTGTCTACATGAAACTCAAATGATGAAAAAGTGCTTTGTAAACTGTAAAATACTGTGTGGCCTTTTGGATTTAAATATTTTTTTTAATTTTTTTATGATAGTCACAGAGAGAGAGAGAGAGAGAGAGAGAGAGAGAGAGAGGCAGAGACATAGGCAGAGGGAGAAGCAGGCTCCATGCACCGGGAGCCCGACGTGGGATTCGATCCCTGGTCTCCAGGATCGCGCCCCGGGCCAAAGACAGGCGCCAAACCGCTGCGCCACCCAGGGATCCCGGCCTTTTGGATTTATTAAACCCAAGGAAACTGGCCGACAGCCAGCTTTCCTTTTCAGCTGGCAGCTTGATAAATACCAGGGCCTTCCTCACTACTCCATGTTCATATATGATAAAAAATCTATTGCTACATAAATAAATATAGTCTCTGGTGGCTTATAGCTTAGGAGCCAGTGGTTGGTCTCAGAGCTACTCTTTCCTCATGAGGAAGGAAGCTTGCATCCCTCCCACACTTTCAGACCTTACTTCTGTCTGGAAAGTGGGGCCCTACTCTACCTTGTCATTCTCTCCCAGGCACCTGACTTTACCAATCAGGCCTTGATTTTCAGAGCCACGCAGGGACCTTGAGGACAGTACTCTCTGGGACAGCTTTTGCCA